GTTCGGGTTCGGCGGGTCCGAGTCTTTCGTTCTTCCCGTCAGTCCCATTAAGTCTATGCTTTCAGTACCGGAAAGGGGAATGATTAGTTCATTTGAGTCTTCGGGTTTGAGTCCGTCGTTCTTTTCTCACGTGGCCACGGGTCTCGCATCAAATACAACATTAGATTCGTATTATTGACTGCGTCTGAATATTGTGTTATATAGGCATTAAAATACAAATGTTCAATAAACATTAACGTCCATTATTCCTTATTCCTTATTATTGTCCCTGTCCGTCTCTTTTCTATATTATGCATCTGTGGTGTGTTTTATTATATATTGTACATTAATTAACTACTATTATATTATACATCATCTACGTGCTTGTTTGTAAAAGGTTTGTGAATTAGTTTGTAAAAAGTTTGTGAATTTGGGTATTCAATACGGTGACATCACGTGACTAAAGAACGAAGGACTCAAACCCGAAGACTCAAATGAACTAATCATTCATCTTTCCGGTGGTCTGACAGCATAGGCTCAATGGGACTGACAGGAAGAACGAAAGACTCGGACTCGAGACTCGAGAGATGAACTAATCATTTCTGTTTCCAGTACAGATTCAGAATCCATATGTTGCGCAATGCGCATGCGCGGGTAACACAAGATGAACGAATCACTCCCTGAGACAACTCGATAGTCCCGAGTCATATTAAAGATTCGTTCAAAATGAACGAATCGTTCATGAACGACACATCACTAGGTCCTTCCAAGTCATTTCCTTCAGAGGCTAGGCAAGGGTCCTCTTTAGCATTCGGAGAACATGTAAATGGAACAGGCTAGCAAGTGCACGTCATTGCGTCATTACATCAGTGAAAGATCAGCTTCGGCGCTGCAAAAATCATAGTGCTGGCGTACTGCACTGTTTAAATACACTTGGCAGTCCTTATTTTGTCTTGTCAGTCCTCATAGAAATAAATAAATAAAGTATAAGGGATAATGTATAACCAGGCGATTGTACTTATAGTGAATACAACCCCGCAAACTCTAAAGCAGAGGGGTCTTAATCAGCCTGAAGGGGTTGTATTCGCTGTAACAACCGCCTCGCTATACATTTCCCACTTATAACATGGCTACCTACCAAACAAATCAATAATTTGACACAAAATATTGATTTAAAAAGGAGTTTATTCATTCAAAAACACGATTATATTACCGGAGTGAACAGAACTACCTCCATAGCAACATGATCTAGCTGTTAAAACATATGCAATTGTAAAATATGTGACCAACAAAAAAAGTCTATAACGTTATATCAAGTAAAAATTAAAAAGTTAATCACCAGTAAAAGGGAACAGCTTTAAATACCCTCAGCAAATTTGAGCCGATATGTTAAATAGTTTAACAAACATTAAATAAATGGCTAAACTGAAATTATACTTGCTTACATTTGAAAGCATATTGCCGTTATCACTCCGACTCCGCTAACGGTCGACATTTTTTAGTTTTTGAACAAGATAGCAAAGCTGCGCATAGGATTGTGGGTGATTTAAGAGCGCGAAGGCTACACATATGCATCCTTTCCTGTGTATGGGATATTTTCCGAACGAAGGACTCAGTCCTTGGTTGAAATTCGGAGGATCCTCGACATTGGAACAGTCCTTCGACGGACGTCGATGACGTAGCATCCTCGAAATTCCGGCTTCCGAGGATCCTTCCTTGACATTGAGAAACGCCTTTTGTTTCATGGCGGGTAACATACAGTGCTCCAAAACATTGGTGCTGATTGGTCCAAGAGGAGTCCTGTGCGCCAATGAACGCTATCTATCGATCTGCGCTCGATTGCTCTTCCTTCATGCTCCAACTACCCGGATGTCTGTCTCAATAACTGAATCTGAATGGGCTTTATGCACAGCTGCACTACTTCCTGAACTTCAGCCAGCTCCTTGTTTCCTGTCTGCCATTATTGGGCAAAATTGATTAATTCAAGTGTGTCTGATTATTGTTGCCGTGACTACTGAGGTCAAGCACACCTGAATTAATCAATGTGTCCAATAATGGCAGACAGGAAACAAGGAGCTGGCTGAAATTCAGGAAGTAGTGAAGCTGTGCATGAGGCCGTTTCTCAATATGCCTTCTTGTCTGTACTTGTGTTCTTGTGGACTTGTAAAACGTCATCAGTTGCGGCCCAAGTACTGTCCCAATACACAAGTTTGCATTTAGACAAGAACGGTTAAAAATCCTGGATGTGTTCTTGACACTCCCATTTTACCGAGGATGCATCGGTTGGTAACTTGTATGAACTTGACGGCAGAAATATCCCATAATTCTTTTTGGTATTCGCGGAAGGAGCGGGAAGCAGATAGAGGCAGGTCAGAGAAACTCTAATATGACCGTAGACTGGCTTTGGGCAGGTCAAAAGTATTACCGAATATTACCGCCGTTTTTTCGCGCCGTTGGCTAGTGATGTACACAAACAAACAACAGAAGCAGAATTAAAATGAGACAGGTGTTGCTTTATTGTTATGAATATACATTGAAGTGTATGTAAAGTAATCCCTTAGGCTTGGGCGATAAAGCCTGGCTGTATAATAATTCTCGTTATGTTTGGGCACTGCAGACGGCGTCTGTGCAGGGGTACTATTGCGCAATACCAGCAAGAACACATCATCTCAAACTGTCAGCAGCGTTCTGTGTGCTCGTCACCTCGTGAGTTCGTTCTTCCAAGAACAACTAGCAAGAGCTTTCTTCCCAAGAACACAAGTCCGTTCTTTGCATTCTTGGTTTTGAGAAACGGCCTAAGTGTGACATACCTCACCTTGGGGTTCTAAGCATGCGTCAAAACCGCCGCCATCTTGGAACAGGGGTCTTGTCATAGGAAGTAGCTAGGTAATGCTGCTATCTCTGCCTTTACTTCGAATTCATTGATGGTGGCGGGCTTTTGTGCAGCGTATGATGTTCACGGATGAAATCTGAACTAGGAAGAATGTTAAAAAAAAAAAAATAATTCTTTCTGGAATCAATGATATATACATGTCTGACCGTTGGAACAAACCAAAAAAAACAAGAAAAATCGCATTCATGATGATGATTTATGGTGATTTTATTTCCGTTAGACCTGTGTCTGATGCATTAAATTGGAGGGGCTCCCCTGTTTCAAGATGGCGGCTCTATTGACGCATTCGTTCCAATGAACTGCCGTATCCAGGTGACGTCTAGTGTATATGTCTATGTGAGTGTGAGCAGTGAAGAGAGTTTAATTTTCAGTGAGGATCAAATTTTTTTGGACTTCAGTTCCAAACAAATAAATTCAATTTCAAATTATACAATTCAGATTCAGTTTTTGTATAAATTCAATTTTAATTAAACAATACAATTTCAAATTATGTGATTTAAATGTGATTTATTGGTTTTCAATGCAATTATTCAAGTTTAGACATTCAAATTCAAATATAAATGGTTCAAATTCAGTTTCTGGTGGCACATATTTCAGCCCATAGTTCTACCTCATCCAAAACAGACAAGCGCTGTGTTTCCTTTGGCTTTGAGATGACATTCTGACTCAGTCAGACGTATTAATGCCGATTAATACAGTGTGAAACAAATGTATATTATTATTAAAGACCTGCTGGTGGTCTGCCGTCAACTTTCCATTAGCTGCTCGAGCTGTCAAATGACAACAGGTACGTAGTAGGAAATACTTTTTGACCTCCGACAAAAATTGTACTAGGACTTGCTGAACGGGTTAGAGACGACCGCCGTCGCAAATGAACTGCGTTTTTGCATTTAACTTATTAACAAAAAGTCATTCACAGAAATGACAGTCAATATTGATTCTTTAACCCTCTGATGGTCCTCGGTCACTTCTGACCGAATAATTTTCTGTTTTGAATTATTAAAAATCACAGCTTCATCGGAAGGTTTTAATACTTGGTGACTTTTTAGGCGTTTGGTATGTGAATACAAAAAAAAAAAAAAAAAAAAAAAAAAAAAAAAAAAAATGAGGTCATGATCCGAGCATGCTAAGTGGTCGTAAAAAAAAAAAAAAAAAAAAAAAAAAAAGTCACACTCGTGGTCTTCATTCAGAAATGACCGACCCATATGAAATGAATGGGAAATTTACAACAACAAAAAAAAAAAACCCTAAAATTCTCTGAATTTTTGTTTGTACAATCTACAAATCGGCCACTCTACAACACTAAGAGTGCAAAAAATGTACACTCACCCCACACACACACACACACACGCACACACAAACACACTTTTATACACATACACCAATAAATTCAGACTACAAAAAATCTGTTTTGAATTTTTTTTTAAAATCACAGCTTCATCGGAATGTTACGAAACTTGGTGACATTTCTGGCATTAGGGATGTGAACACAAAAAATTGAGTTCATGATCCGAGCATGCTAAGTGGTCGTAAAAAAATTTGTCACGATTTTGGTCTTTGGTCAAAAATTACACCCATAGGAAATGAATGGGAAATTGACGAAAACACAAAAATTCACATTTTTTTTTTTTTTTTTAACATTTTTTTAATAAGAAATTGTTTTTGAGATTGTTTCAATTATACATTCAAATCCACCAAAAAAATTTAAAAAAAAGTGTTCATAAACAGCTGGGGAATTCACATGCCTCATAAAGAGCTGTACATGCCATCTAGTGGTTACACCATGATTCTACACCTTTTCTCTATACTGTAACTGGATGGTGCTAATTTTCTTCAAATTTTTTTTTTTTTCTGAAGGCCTAGACTCGTTATATTAAACAAAAATACTGCATTAATAATTTAAGAAATTTATATATATATATTTCCATTGAAAAAATAACCATAAATATTGCATAAATATTAATAAATTCAATCAAATTGTCTCAAAATACTAAATTAAAAAGAATAAATATTATAGAACAAAAATCAATTGCATTGGTTTTACTGGGATGGAAGAAGTTTCATTTTTAGGCCTCCGGTCACTTCTGACCGGCAAGGCCCAGGACGCGACTCATAAATGAAGACCATCAGAGGGTTAAAAAAAATTGTTTATGAAAAAATAACGAACAGGAATTAATTCCAGCATAATACATTCATTTGCTCTAAAAATGCTTCTTATATCCTCGCAGCTTTCATTTAATTAAGTATTTTATTACAAGCTATTTTCTGTGATAACTAAAGTTATAAATTTCTATACATTATTATATATATATATATATATATATATATATTTATTTTTTTTGCAAATCTGTAAAAAAAAAAAAACCTATGTCTACACTTTGCACAAAGTAAACATCACATTGCCCTTAAATTAGTAAAGAGAGATTAAAGGGTGGCTGTAGGAAAATACAAGTTTGGGAGGGCCACTAACTTTACCACACCACACAATATTTTCGACTTGAATAAACAAACAATGCCTAACCAAATTTAAAAAAGATACATGCTTGTGGAATAAATATTTTGAATTTAGTTTTCTTCTTGTTGACATTCACATCTTAAAATAGATGAGTTTCAACCATGGAGCTTTCGGTTGGGGAAGAAGCTTATTCTACATTTGCTTTGTTCATGTTTGGCTGTACTAAAGGTAGTTCATTTTAATTTGCAGTTTAGTGTTTAAAGTTTCACTACACAACTTCTATTTATAAGTTAGTTCTAGAAAAAAACCCACATTCTCTCTCCCTCTCCACAGGAGTTCTGGCTATTTGACCCACCTGGTCATGGTATACAAGCAGTCAGGAAAGCAAAGAACAGGAGTGGAAAAATGAAATCACAGTTGGATGAAACATTCTCAGACACAAATTTAAGTTGGCTCTAAGCCAAGAGAGATCTAGTCTTTCATTTATCAGTAGCAGAGGTGTGGCTTGTTTAGCCCCAGAACCTCTGTTTAGTTTGAGGAACAGGTGTCTTTGGGATGTCTGGGGCAAAGATGGAGCCTGCGGATTCAGAGAGGAAGATGAAGTAGAGGTTGGCCACAAGCATAACCAACATGGGCAGAAACGAGAAACCAAAGCCGACTCCTCTGAAACTACTGCCACATGCGGCTGCGACCCAGTACAGCAACCTGTGATAGGCACAAAGACACACACAATCACACTTAAAAATATAATACAAATAATGTTAATACACATTGAATATCTTGGATTAAAAATCTAAAATAAACTAAGATTGGGCTGAATTTCTTTTTTAACAAACAACAAAAAGTGATAGAAGTAAATTAGTTCATTGCCAATCACTAGATATGAGAAATGTCTGAGCAAGTGTTTGCAGCCTTTTCTAAATCAGAGATTAGGTCCTGTACGTTTAAAATGGGATTCTGTACCTGCCAAAGGCAAAGACGATGGTGAGAAGAGGAATTAGTTTCAGCAGATCCTGTTTCAGGTAAGCAGCCATGACAGCCAGTTGAAGGAAGTAAAGGAGGAAGAGGGAGATGGAATCCTCCACATAGCGCTGGTGAACTTCCACCTGCTTAACTTCTCTCTCCCCTTCAAACCGTGGCTTTAAGGAGCGATACCACAGACGAGACACACCTAGTACCAACATACCTAAAAACAACAGTTTCAAATCAGCTCTGAATAAACAAATGAATGAACACAAAGATACACTATCTATCAATGTTGCATCATTTCAGTGCTTCCTGCTTACCAAGGACAATTGGTATGACTGCAAAAACAGAGCAGCGCAGTGTGTAGACCAGCCGTAGGGGCGCACTGTCTAGCAGAGGGGCATCAAAGGGCAGGAAGACGTACCCTCCCCACACCAACAAGGGGAAGATCAAAGCTGAAGTGAACATGGACGCACCCAGTTTCAGAGCATCACGATTAGATCCACCACAGTTACCTGGGAGGAAGAAAAAATTAGACCTTACAAAGTATTGTTGCAGTTCAGTCAGAGCTGTGTGGATCACAATATTGGTACTCTCTGCTGTTTTGTGTGAAGGTACGGTCACACAAACACAATTTTGGCAGAATTTCACAGACAAAAATATTAAGTATGTAAATGTAAAAAATATATTGGTTATCCTCTTTTTTTACATTTCATTCAACACTCAAACTAACAAATTAAAAGGTTCTAAAATGGGGTTTTGCGCAGATATAGAAGAAGAACCATTTCTGGTTCCATAAAGCAAAACAAAAAGGTTCCACGGATGTTTCCGGTTCACATGGAACAATCAATGCTAATGAAGAGCCTTTTTTTAAGAATGAATATTATTCAAGGTATACAATTAACCAGTTCATGCATTCCAGGGAATTGAACTTATGACCTTGCCGTTGAACCATGTTGGTGATTTATGATTTAATGATTTAACTTACAGCAGCGTGATTTGGTTGTGACTGGCCAGTCGTGGTAATAGCCTTCTATTGGTGTTCCATGTGTCTCATGTGTCCCGAGGAAGGCGCTTCTCTCTTCTTCAGCATCTCTCCAGTGGTCTGCAGCCTCCTGCTGGCTGGTGGAGCGCAGGATGGTGACGCTGGGGCTGAAGACTCGGGCTGCGTTCTCTGGCATCATGTTTATCTCCTCCACCTCTATCTCTGAACAGGTGCTTTTCACTCCATTTCTCAGTTCAAAGTCAGAAATGCTCTCTTTCCCTGTCTCCATTTCTCTCCATTCCTCACCTGTCTTCCCCTTCTCTCCCATTCCAAAATCTTCCCTTTCGCTCTCAGTACGGCTCACTCCACCCCGGAGCGAGAAGCAATCTGATCTCATGCTCACGCTCTCTCCATCCTGGACTGGCAGAATCTGTGGTCCAGGTTTATTCTCAGGCCACTGTAGGGTACTGGGTTCCATATTTGCAGACTTGATCATTTCCTCTTCCTCTTCCGCATTGTTCTTTACATTCTTTGTTAGCTTGTCCACATCTGCTACCCATTCAGGGGTTTGGGGCACCGCTGCTGGTCCAGGAGGGCCCGTGTCCATTGTACCTGGCTCTGAATACAGAAATTCTGACAGTGAAAGAAATGGAGAAGCTGGGAACAGCATGTCTGAGCAATTTTGTAAGATTTAGAAAAAAAATCTTTTTTTTAAATCTTTTAAATCTTTTTTTTTTTTTTTTTTTTTTTAAAGGTCAGCTTCTACAGGAATCAAAATGTAATGAATTGTTGGAAGAAGAAATTATTAAATGTATTCATACAGTAAAGAAGAGCAATAACTCAACCAATCAGTTAGTCTTTAAGTGTGTCCCCGGTATACCTTAGCTCATGATGCTTTTCAGAATCATGGCCCTGATAAATACTAGTTTAACCTGGACCTTAATGAATTTCTTTATTCAGCTTAACTCAAAAGAAGATGTTTTGAAGAATATTGGTAACCAAACAGGTGGGCCCCATTGGTATCCATAGTATGTTTTTCCCCATACTAAGTCAATGGGCCCCCTCAACTGTTTAGTTACACATATTCTTCAAAATATCTTCTTTTGTGTTCAGCAAAATAAATAAATTTCTACAGGTTTGGAATAGCTTGAGGGTGAGTAAATAATTGAACTACTAAAGGGTAAACTATCCCTTTAAGCTATTTCCCAGAATAAAATGCATTTTACTTGACCAAAAGAAAGACAAATCATAAAATATGTCAGTGCCATTGTTTTGTCTCAAGATTGTAAAGTAAAGTACATACAGTAATTTTTTTTCTAAGACTGTAAATAGGCTATAAAAGTCGTAAAAGGAAGTTGAGTTCCATAAACTATTAAGACTATTTATTTAGAAGGAAATTAGAACCTGTGACATTTGAGCCATAAGAATTGCTGTCACTACTTAGTTCGTAGACGAAAAACAGAAAAATTGAGCGAGGCCTCAAAACAACATGGACACATGAGCGCATAAACAGAGCGAGTTCAGAAGAACCAAACTAATAACTCTAAATGACAATACTTATTCTCAGGCTGGTATTGTCTACAGGGCACATATGATCTTCATAGTGTCCAAAAGCCTTATTTTAATAACGAGAAGTAGAAGAGTCCAAAATCAGGCCAAAGGGAGTTTTAATCGTAGGCTACGGCATGTCAAAACAGTCGAAACATTAAAAAGGGCTAGAGCGACAAGGCTTGTGGAACATTTATCACGCGAAGAAAAACTTTCAAATGTGCTCACCCAAATTTCAGCGCAGGTTATTTTGCTTTCAGGATTGGTTTTCCTCTATTGAAATGAAACTCCCGAAGTGGAAGTTCAGGTGTGTCCAGGTGAAGTTTGTTAAAGGGGCAGACACTTAAAGGGGAAGTTTGTCAGTCTGGTTCTTAGTGTCATCGGTGTTGTTGCACTATCAATGAGCCTCTTTCCTTTTCTTTACACATACATAATGATATATACACATACTAATGAGTTTATCAAGGCTATGTGTAAACAAAAGAGGCTCATAGTGCAACAACACCAATGACACGTTAAGAATCTGACAAACTTCCCCTTTAAGAGTCTGCACCTTTAACAAACTTTAACCAAAAACATACATTTCCTTCTAAAAGCATTTTAAGCTGGTCTCCTGGCTGAAAAGTGCCCCAAACCCCTCTAAAACCTTCAAAACAGACCAGCCTTAAACAGATCAGCTCTGTCAGGTTGGGAGGCTATAGCTAACCACCTTAAACTGGTTTATGTGTTTGACTACATTAATTCATAGCAGTATTTGCTTTAAAGATCATCTAGAGAATCAAATATGGAAGACTGATTGAGACTTTTAGGCAGATAATTTATTTAAAAATAAATTTAACAGGTCACTCTTTGGGTAGGCTACTATTGGAACATGACAGCTTTGTCGCAGTGTGTTTCGCTTTCATCTTTCATCTACAAGCTAAACAACATGTCACTACAATTCTATACAATACCAAAGACATTGGAAATCTTTTGGCCTCCAAGTGTCGAGAACATAAATGTAAATCTAAATTATGATTCTTCAAAAACAAATGAGGCTGAACAATATAGTCCAAGATTGATTCAGTTCTGCTTCTGCACCGTTACAACATTGCAATGAGAACATAATGTCAGTGAAAACCATGACTGTAAATAGCACAACATGCTTGATGAAGTAGCACTCCTCTCGCTACATTACATGTCTCATTACCTTTCCTTCTACAATAGGCCTGATTCATTTTGCACCACAGTACGCTGTTCTGAGCACAAAGAGCCCCTGTGGGATGTGGCGCAGTAAAATGGAGCTGTCACTGCTTTCATGAGGTTGAGTGAAAGCACATCTGTACATGGTGGCATGAGAAGATGAAGACAGATGACTTTGAGATGTTTTCTGGCTGCACACTCCCTCCTGTGAAAGTTGCTGTCAGCATGTGTGCCAGCTGTTAGCATAATGCTAATGAAGGGGTTAAGGCTGTTTGCATGCTGTTCTGGAGGTTCATCTGATGTCTTTCTCAACAGGAGAAAATGTTTTTGGACGAAAAACAGACAGAGTGAAGGGATGAGTGTCCCCTACCATCTGATCAGGCATTTGAATTGGAACTAGATTTTATGAATGATGCCTAGAAGAATTACATGAATCAGTCGATAATTGTAAAAACATTCTGGAAAATGAAGTGTTTTCCCACAAAATTCCCACAAAAATTACATTTTTATATAATGAAATGTACAGTGCCCAGCCAAATAAAAAGTTGCTGTTTGGATTTAAATAAGGCAAATGCTTAAGATTGGATAATTGTTTTAGTGATTATTATGTTTCTAGCATGTTATGTTTGGCAACAGCTTTTCATTTCTTAAAAAACATGTAGGAAAAGACATCATGGTCATATTCCAGGATTACGTATAATCCTAGGGCGTCGTATAGTGACACTTTTGAAATTTCGTTTAAATCCAAGGCACATGGCACACTTTAGCGTCAATATAACACACACAAAGGTTATGGTAGGTTTAGTTCTGGGTTAGGTTTAGGGTTACACCACTAGGAGGCGCCTTCTGGACCATTATATATATCTGCGTGCGTCTCATATTGACGCTAAAGGGTGCCATGTGCGTTGGATGTAGACGAAATGTAAAAAGTGTCAGTATATGACGCCTTGGAATGACAACGGGCTGGAATGGAGCATGAATAATAATTTTTTCACACATCTGAGTCTAGACTTCATTGAAAGTATTCATCCAATATTGCACCCTGACCAAAAACTGATGAAAATAAATGTTGCAATGTTAATGTTGTGATGTAATTTTTGGTCAAGATCTTGCATCGACAACGCAAGGGTCGAGCACTTTGAAAAAGCCGAAAACAGCAACTTTTTTTTGACAGGCAGTGTATAAACTAAAACCAAAATTCTATAGGTGACATTTAAAATCTATCAATCCGTAAGATCTATAAACCTCAGAATTTCAAGGTTTTTAAAACTTTTTTCGACACCTCGATTCATATCCAGCAGCTGAATTGGAATTTAAAAGTATGAATATCCCCATCATACGCACATTTGATTTCCATTTTAATGTTGTTTTATGTATTAAGACACTCACTAGGTGAGCTGTAAACATATCTTTTATTCATTTATTTATTTGGAAACAAATATAAAAGCACATTAAAATGCAAAAGCCACTTGTAAACTACATGGCACATTTTCAGTTTGAATAAAGTCACCAGCATCTGTCTGCATTTTAAAGGCTCAAATATATCGTACACGCCACTCAGCTAAGACACAATGTGCATCGTGAGAAGAGCAGGTCGGTGTCACGGAGAAATAACACCGCTGCACTACAGACTCGAAAGCAATAGCTAAGTTGCACCTAAATGGCAATATTGACCTCCTCTGCACGCAAGACACATATCGCACCTGTTTATTTCAGCTTCATTTCTATTGAACATGTATAGCAAATCACAGGTGAACCAGACTTTGAGAAGGAAAAATAACACTGTGCCGATAGCCCGGGCAGAACGGCAAACAATCGATTGATAGAACAGTCCATTTCAACGTCAGCAAATACTGAAGAACAACAGACAGGAAATCCGACTCCTCCTATTAAGAACACTGTGGAGAGAGGCGGGGAAAGGACCTGGCAAATCAAACATTCCATTTGCCCACAGAGGCTGGTAGGTCAGTACATTGATTGACATTTAGCTGAATAACAGCAGGGCCAGTTTCTCTGGCTGTTCTGTAAACACACGGATTTATAAGGCGCAAAGCTCCAAAGAGTCCCAAACCGAAGAGCTCAGAGAATGTAATCGTTCTGGAACCAATGCACAAGTGTGGAATGAGTCATTGAGAAATGGATTAACCTAATTTTTCATTTTCCAATTTCGGAATTGTTAATTTGTCTTTCTTTGGACATAGAAAATAATGAACCGTATTGTTGGTCTGTGATAAAGCTATTCGGCTGGTTTCAAACATAAAAGATTCATCGCTAAGACTTTTCAGCCATGCTGAACGTGACATCAGTGGTGGAAGGTATGAGTTGAAAAAACCCTGTCAGAACGCAGGAGACATAAAAGTTGGTTTAAGTGCAGTTTTCAAATGGAAAATCCAGACCCACAAGTACACAAAACCACCATCACGAAACAACAACACTTGAGGGATACAGTCGGCTCTGAGGTGGAGGAGGTGTGGTGGTGGTTGTGTGTGTCGGCGTGTGTGTGTGTGTGTGTGTGAGGTAATCATCGCATGTCTCCTAGCCTGAAATCTGGCTAGCAGCTCAGGCAATGCGGTAGTCGAACGTGTCTTTTTCCATATAGTCTGTCCATGTGGAACTCGGCATGCTACTGTACGGATCCAGAAGGATTCGGAAGCAGCGCACGATCAGCAGCCCCAGAAAGATGAAGAGGAGGAGGACGAAGACGAAGGCAGCCTTCTGTTCCAGCGTGAGGAAAGGGATGGGCTGGGTGGCCCCAGACGCAGACAGCGTGCTGCTGTGGAGATGCTCGGCCATCCTCTCCAGTTCCTCGGCACGGGTCAGGGGCACGTGGCCATTTTCGCCACATTCGTGATCAACAGGTTCCTGTTTAGAGCCATTCTGGAAACACACAAAAAAAACAACAAGAAAATTCACATACGATTTTTGAGAATTCCCGACAATTTCACAGCCAGCGCAGGCCTCCCGTTTAAAGGCATATACAACCACTATGTTATATAAGATTACTTAAAAGCATGAAATCCTCCAGCTCACATTACTAATGCACATCAGTGAAATGATTCAGCCTTGAGTGAATTATCTCTCTCTTCTTAAGGTGATCGAATCTGTTTCTGACTGGGTTTTTGTCATGCCCCCCTGATTCATTCTCGGTTTCTGTGGTAGTCGCTGACCCTTTAATGGTTCACTTCTTTGATGGCAGCGCTCACGATTAGCCCTGGCACTCCCTGTAAAGCCTGGCTCAATTTCCCCAAACGTGAAGGTTTCTCTTGAACAGTCGCACGCATCATATGGCAATGTGTTGTTCAAAATCCAACCGCATGAACATTGGGTACCTGTGTTTTGGATTCCAGAAACAAAGTGCCCGACACTAACACGTCTCCGTTTCTGATTTTATTTATCAGATTTCCATGTAAACATCTAATCGATCCCTCCTCAAAATGGGCTAAATTGCATTCTCACTGCTCTGACAGTTGAACTGGTGACGTCTGTACACACACACACACAGGGCTGTGGATGTAATGGAAGCCTTAGTTTCTCACCTGTTGTTACTGAAAAGGATTCATCAGTGGGAGGGTGATGGAGACCCGAAATAAGCAGGGAGAGAGACGTCTTCCATCACGGCTGTCCGCCCAGAGACAGAGGGTTGTCACAACTTTTTCAACCGAGCTCGTCGATTTGTTCAGCAATCAAAATAAAATCCGTGGCTCTCCGCTTCCATTCCTCTCCTCTGTGGTCCAACTCCCTCTTTCCCTCGCCAAGATGAGCATGTAGTGGTGTCACATCACCCATAGCAACCAGTTGCCATAGCAATCCCTCCAAGTGTGTTCAGTAAAGCTGAGCTGGTGAGAGACAAGTGTGATCCAGCCAAAGCGCAGTGTAAACGTGTGTTTCTGTGAAGGCGGAGGATTTAATACAGACCGACTGATGTGTGATAACAACAGCGACTAAAAATAGTGGCCACTTTTAACTTTGCAGGATTAACAAATTTTAATACGGTCTTTACTACAAGCTGCTCGCAAATGTCAGCCAATCAGCTTAAATGGGGAATGTCGTGCTTTCAGACACGCTGCTGCTGCTGTCATTTGATACGTCTGTGTGTGTATACACTCAGTCTCCACATCTTCAGCACTGTCAGTACGAGTTCTATTAACTGGATATATTTAAACATTACTGATAGATCAGTTGACTGACTGATTATTTATTGTGTGATTGATGGCCGTGGGGAAATAACTGTGAAGTCTGGATAATGGCCAGCCCTGAATGGTGCAGGGAGGCTTTTCCATCATATAGTGAATCAGGTTTTTAAAAACACACAATGTTTGGTATGCATGTGAGATGGACAAATAATCTACAATAATAGGCAGTGTTTGAAGATGAGTTATGAAGATAATTATTCATATGCATTTCTTTGACAATATGATTCTGCCAAATATGTAAGTATGTATTATTTACAATCTGTAGAGGCATCAGAGGACCATAATCTTAATGCTATAAATGAAATTGATACAGATGATTCTGATGATAAACGTCATAAATACACACACAGTTTGATCACTGTGAATATTATGGGGGGATGGGGATCAATATGTGAATTGTTATTTGGCAATATTAGAAGACTATTTATTATGCATAACTATAGTTAACTGTAATAGATCTAACCAGTGAAAAAACAAACTGACATTCCCAGAATTCTCTGCATGACAAATAAATAATAATGTGTTTTCATCTAAACAACTTTCTTCTTAGTTTTTTTCTTATCAGTTATTAGGGTTTTATGTTACATATAATGTTGTTAAATTGTAAATATTATGTTGTATTATGTTGTAATATGTTGTATAATTGTAAATATAAATATTAAATGTTTATTTGATTACTTTAGTGTAATTTTTGTTTCCATGATGGTGTTTAGTATTTGTGATGAATTCATGTGACTTTCTCATCATTTCCTGTTTTTGATGGTTGTTAGGGCTATTAGTACTTCATTAGGTTGGATAACAATATAACAGTTAATGAAATGCTTTTTTTAAACTGTAAATTTTAAAAAATCTGTAAAAACTAAAATGTTGGTACTGTATTTTTTTAACGTCAAATTCAACCACAGCAGCAGTTTTTTTTACTGTACAATTTTTACAGTGTAATTTCACAGACCTTTTTTTTCACAAACAAAATCTGTCTAATAATCTAAAACACACAACATATGCTATATTTAGTTTATAGGTTATAGATATAATTGTTTTATTCTCAGATTTATTTATTTTTATATGGCTAGGACACATTTCTCAATACTTAGGTCACTTTTTCAAAACTCTCCACACAGTGATAACAACAGCAGTCTATGTGAGCTAAACTGTGGATCATTTATCATTGCCTTGGCACAAAATGCATTGAATGATGACATTTTTCAATTTACATGAATTCTTTTCTCATTATATCACAATTTTAATGATTTTCCCAAAAATTTCAAACGTTTCAAACGTTAGTACTTACGATAATACTTCAATACTAAGACACAAGCACCACAAAACTTTATGTACTATACAGGCAAATTTGTTTACCCTCTCTTTTCAAAACTGTTAAACTTCAGTTCAAAGCACAACACAAAAATGAACAAAAATAATAATAATAATAATGAGAAATTTGCAACATTTCTAGTAATACCATATTGAAATGTATTCCGAATCTAAGAAATGAAATACTATCAAAACAATTAGGGTAACTGAACACCAACACACGTGTCACAATAGTCTTTCAATTTCATCACCAATCATTCAAATGGGGAAAAACTTAGGGATCATTTTGTACTGTTGTAAACATGGACCATGTTACATACTGCACTGAATAAAGCATTGTCATTCCTGATTTGTAAAGATTTATATATTTATTTTTTATACAAAAAAAGTATAATGCAGATCTAAAAGATTGTTTGTGGGTAGTAATTCTGCATACAAACATCAAATGATTAGCCATGTAAGCCAAAATACACACAGATATGAAAAATATAAAAAGCTACTACATTATGTCTTTTGCAGTGGAGTGTAGGCTACAGGAGATTAGACGCTATGCTTTCACCAGGCCTCGATTAGTAAACAATTTAACAAACTCTAGTGCACTTTGAATGAGAAATGAATAGCTGCGCCAAGTTGAAAGTTGGTTAAGAGAACAAAAAATGACCTGAGTTGTATTGAGAAATTTGTCCTGGCGACTGTAATAACACAAATCAACTTTGTGTAATAATAAACTTTAATCGCCTACCTGAGATTTGCGTCTTCAAATCATATCTTGTTTTACATGTTTAGTCATGAACTTTAGTCAGAGAATTTCCAGTCAAAGTATGGCCTCTCAAAGCTTGTCGTCTAAATAATGTTGAAATAGCGCCACCTACCAGATGTCCGTTGTAGTCCACTGCACCTGAACTCGGAACATCTGCTTTCCTCCTACCTAGGGAAAACAGCTAGAGAACATTTAAATAATATCCAACATGTTTGGCTGTGGACGTCAACGTAGTAGGCTTAGGCTATTAATGTAAGTAAAATAATTTGAACCACTGATCTTCCTTAATTTTTATGAATCAACCTGTAAGATTCATTCATGCTGGTAACATATGGTGTGGAAACTGGCATTAAACTCACCAGAGGTCTGAGATTAATGTGTCAAATCCAAAAATAAGAAACTTTGAAGAATGGAGAAACATAGGCTACATGACTTTCCCATTTTTGACCGCTTGGTGGCAGCAGGGAACCACCTTTGGGTTCTTTTCTCCTTTAGAAAAAGTAGACCTGTAGATGGCGCTCTTTATCGCTGGAATACTTTTGTGCCAGACAAAAGAAAAACAACTACATGAAAACACAAACCTTTAAAACAGATTCAGATTTTATGTGAAGCGTATAGTTTATATACATTATATAGTAGTAGGCTGTATTTATTTATTTAACCAAGGTTGTACATAACTACGTTTTTGACTTTATGGTATAACAACAAACACAAAATAACCATTCATTTAAGGGTGAGAAAGGGGTCTACTACTAGCTGCTACTACTACTACTACTACTACTACTACTAAGACTTAAACAAGTAAGCACTAATCAACATCCCCTCATCCACCCAATTAAAAACTAAATAAAACCAGTAGCTTTCAATCTTTGCTTTCTCTTTGTTTTAAATTATGAACACAGCGAGACACTACTGCTGAACATCCTCAGCAGAAATATTGCTGTAATGAAACATTTGACTGATTCATTCCCATTTATACTAATATGAATGCAAATGGCAGAAAAGCGTGGGTAGCTCACAGATATTTGATCATATATTCCAAAGATTAATGATCTTATCGATCGTTATTATTCAGCTGAGAGTGCTGAATTAATGAGGTGTGAGGCATTCAATGTGGAATGCTCAAATGAAAACAGAAGAAAGGAACATTTTACACCATAATGTGTTGCATTTAATGACCTACATTTATCGTTTTTATTGCTGTTGTGCACACAATATTTTTGTGGTTGCTTCTTCTTGTTCTCCATATCTCTTTGTCTTTTTAGCCACAACCACACAAACGTCCATGTGTGACACGCCTCCAGTGACCTTTGACGGATTTCCTCTCAAAAGGGTGATGAAAGGCAAAATAATTGCTTCTTTTCCAAATATTTCAAGCTCAAATCTCTCTGATGCCTGATACTCGTGTACATTGCAATCAAATGTCCTAAACACATCTCCCTCACCATCAAAGCGTCGGATAAATGATGTGTTTATAGAGGAAAACTCAAATGTGGCACTAGCTGAACAAAAGTGTGCAAGCTACTTTGAAATATTTTAGCTTCATTTCATCACAGTAAAATCTCTTGAAAGAGGAAAGCGAGAAAGAAAGCGGCAGTCGTAGAGACGGGGAAATCATCTCCACGCTCTCGCACTGACTGCAATGACCCTCAGGCCATTTTTTCTGGGCTCCGTTTTGAGACAAGTGATTTAATTGAAAAAAAAAAGGGGGAAAGAAATGATACTTGTGGAAGATTGTGGTTCTGAGTCATTAACTGCAGGGAGGTGCACTGGTTAAGGCGACTAATTGAATGTCAGCATGAGCCATTGAGAAAGATCTCAGGTGCAGTGTCAGCAAAACCAGATGGGCGGGTGAGGGCAAATAAAGAGGGTTTAATCTTATTACAGGAATAGTTGGCCCAAAAATCATTTACTTACCCTCACGGCATTCCTACCTTTATTTCTTACGTGTTACACAAAAGAATGTGCTTTGAAGAAGGAACTCTTTTTATACATGCAATAAAAGTCAATGGGGTCCAAGTACAGGTGAGGGTGAGTAAAAGTGTCTCAGTTCATCTACATATGTGCATGTTTGTGGCTGCCAGTTCACCAAACTCTCTTTATGTTGGATCAAGTGCAGATTCAACTGCAAAAACAATGTTTACAAGACGTGTGAACTACTGCTCCCTCACACACCACATTATCTCACTCTGTCTGGACCTTCTTCCTCATTCACTGGAAATCCAGCCCGCATTGTCCACAGACACGGAAAGGGAGTCTCAGAGCAGTATCTTCTCTGCTTTATGTCTTCTCTGCGCTATGTTTTTTGGCGCTCTTCCACCATTACACATGCACAGCAGGAAGAGAACTCTTCTCCAGATGCTCCCCATCTCTCTCTGATAGTCGCAATTCATATTCAAGAATACGCAACCAGATTGTTCCATTTTTAGCCTGTTAGAATTTCAAGCTAATTGAGTGCAAAAGCACCCTAGAAAGTCTCATGCTGCTTCTGGATTACTTCAGTCTGTGGAGTCCAGGCACCTGGTTGTTTTTCAAAGCCTCCTCAACAGGGCCCGCCTCCGGGACCCCCACACTGCAGACCGCCTCTAAAAGCCTGTGATAGGAACATTCAATCTGTCTGCTCCCGTTTTATCAGATCACTCTTTTTTTTTATTTCCACCCCCCCTCCTCCAGTCTGAGCTTTAATGGGAACGAGGAGAGAGGCAAACAGTGATTACAGGTATCAGGAGTCGATGCCGGATCTGGGGTATGAGATAGGACCCTGCGACAACTTGGCACAGAGGCCATTAATCACTGCTTGTTTGGAATCTGAACTAATACTCTTCTTTTTTCAATTCAATTTATCTTTCTATCTTTCTTTTTAGATATATCTCACAAACAAACAATATAGTAGGGAAGAGTGGGGTTGAGATGTGCTCAAATCATCTCAAACTGGTTTCTTGAACATGCCAATGAGTTCACTATACTCAAATGGCCTCCAGTCACCAAATCTCAATCCAATAGAGCAGTTTTGGGATGTGGTGGAACGGGAGATTCACATCATGGATGTGCAGCCGATAAATCATAGGCAACTGCGTGATGCTGTCATGTCAATATGGACTATAATCTCTGATGAATTTTGTGAAGTTTGAAGTTTCCAGAACCTTGTTATATCTGTGCCACAAAGAAGTTCTAACAGCAAAAGTGGGTCCAAGATGGGAGCAAGATATATATAAAAGACATTGAGCATTCATAAATATTTTTTTTCCTTGTT